CCCCCCTCCTTTTCGGAAGATTAATTTTGCGTGGCCTCCCCTTGTGCTCACGCTGAATTTCAGTGCAAAGGAGAACTGACGTGATGGGACGTGGCCTTTCCTTTATAAACATTCTAAGGCAATGGCTTCCAGCAACGCCAGGTCCGCCCGCCATCTCTAGGCCGAGAGGTAAACTAGCCTGGTTACATGTGGTCACGTTATTTGATAACGTAACAAAGTTTTCTGCCTACAGCAACGCCGACAGCGCAAATGCAGCCAGAAAGTTCCTATAACAGCTATCGATGTGTCCCTGGACCTTTATTATCTTTAATATATACTTATGATTTCCCGTCAAGCATTGAATCTATCATCAAGCTATACGCCGATGACTGCACGCTGTATTAGAAAACTTAATCCCCGAGTGATCACATAGCTTTTCAAACTGTTAAATTTTAAAGCAACAAATTTATAGTGTCACTTTGTTTAAATACTTAGGAGATAATTTCACAAACAATTCGTCATGGAAAATGCATATACAGCGCACAACCAGTGATCATTGTAGGAAGCTTTTTCTTTTTTTTTCTTAAACGGTACATTTATTCAACTCTTCAGAGAACGAATCTTCTTGCATATAAAACAATCATCCCTCTTAAACTAGAATATACCTGCATAATGCGGAATCTACAGCAAAAATATTGAACGTTACAATTAAAGGCCTTTCAAAGCAATGTTGCATGTTACATCTGCCACAAGTCCTCCCCCCAAACAAGCGTCCCAGGTCTGAAGAAAATTGGGTTTATAGTTTCTTGAGAAAACCGACGAAAACTTGCTCACTTATGTTTTCTTGTGACATTTATTATAGCGAATTTGTTTTCATAACAAACAACTTCATACATGATTGGTTCACATCTGTAAGGGCGATAATTCATGCAAAGTCGAACCAAGTAAATCACGAATTAACTTGTTTTTGTTTTCCCCACTGGCCCTTTCCACAAAGGACAGGAATAGTCTCCCATGAAGAGCTGAGTGGTTAACTTGTTATTAACTCATTAACTTTTGAATTTTAAATACTAATTGCTTTTGTTGCGCTTGTTGGTGCACTGAGTTCTGAATAGATCATCTATTTATCTTGAGTGTTTCACACTGTATTATTTAAAGTCGTTAAATTATTCAGAGCTCGAGCTAGATAAGTGACGGAAACATTGCGCGGGTGCCTTACCGCAGCCGCTAGCCTTGTACCTGCTCCACGAGTGGTAACTTTAGTTCACTACTACGCTTCTCACGCGCTGAAAGTCTTTCTCAAAATAACTGATTTAGTGGTTTTCGATAACGCTCAGCAAGTTTCTATTTGAAACCATATCTCTATTTTCACTAATTAAAAAGTTATTTAGTGAATTTTAAATAATTAGCTGACTTATCGCAACGATTAGCCACCCACAAAATGCCCCCCTGGGCGTATAACTCACTTGCACTAACCACATCTGCAAGAATCTGCAAGATTAAAAGAAAAAAAAAAAAAGAAACACCCGATATATCACGACTTCTCCAACTTTCTTGCTTTCATCCTCATGCAATGCATGGCTAGATACCTTTGCGGTAAAATAAATGATAAAAAACTGTTTCTAGATGTAATCAGAAAACCTCCTGTCTTAAAAAAGTCCCGAAAGCATAAGACTGCCAGTATCAGTTTCCGACTTGCCATGACATCATGCAGCCTCAATCGCCGACACATAATAATATTTATTTCGTTAATATTTATGTTGCGTGTATTTCCTACAGCCGGAAGTTAGTCAGCCTCCGTGGGCGTCTGGTGTCTCAGCTGTAGATGAGAAATTTGGCCAGTGCAGTACCACCACCAGGCCGGGGTCTTCAACGTGCATCACGCAGTAGTGATACACGATCGCCAGGCCGGTTCACACAATTCAGCGTACCACGAATCCAGCGTGCCACAATTCCGATAGCTTTAAAGCACGCCGTGAAAGTGATTTATTTGACTTTTGGATAGACGTGTAGCGAAAGCTTGCAAGGCAGAACTCGAAATAATTCCGGTGTTCGAAATATTTATGGCAAATTTCTAGGTAATTATGTTGCACACGCTAAACGCTCCAGCATCACAAACGTCTAGCGATACTTTTGAGTTTCCAGACATCAGACGCCTACGTTCACGGCGCTCTTCATCAGATACTTTAATGCGTACCATGTGTACACTTGACAGTTGTTCCTAGAATGAAGCTATACGACCAATAATCGGGCTGATAAACCTGGCCATCTTCCAGAGCCTTCCATACTCTCAAAGTCCTCTCCCTCAGTGCTCACAGGTGGTCGAGCTCTATCCTCGCCTACTTCTCTGGTCACATACCCTCCCCGTTAACCAATCAGCGTTGAGCACCTCACTCCTCCTCTTCCACCCGTGAACCAATCAGTGTCGAGCCTCGCGCGGCCACGCTTTTATCTGGACTTCACTAAATGCCGAATACGTATCCAAAGAACGTTCCGCGTTAACAAGCAGGGCCGATCCACGCCCTAGCCCCTTTCGAAATAAATGGACATCGTACCGGCGTGAGCTCGTGTGGTCTCACGTGCATAATTTACGTTAATGAACCCAGGCTACCGGTCGAACTGCATTAGATCAAGCGTCTACAAACACGCGAACACTATAAAAACGGTAGGAAGGGCTTTCACTTACTACGCTTCCAGCGCAAGCTTCCAATCTTAGATGACACTTCGACGTGTCGTGAGCCTCGAACGCGCACGCGCAATGAATGCACAGCGGAAGGCATCGAGGGCGTCATTCGATCAAGATGCCTCACTGCTCTCATCCTGCCAGTTAATATTCGCAGCTCCAGCCCGCCGCTCGCCCTCTCGCGGATGGACGAAAAACCAGAGGTGCGGGGATGGCGGCGGAGACGGTGACAGGGACTGCCTTGGTGAAGCTGTTAACGCATGGTTCTGGTCGGCGTGTTCGTGCATCATGCAGTTGTAACGAAGAAAACAAAAACAAAAACGAGTGCACTAAAATAGGAACTGTTATGTTCCGCTTCGAAACTTCTAAAAATTAACACGCTTATCTTCATAACGCACGTCAACATCTCCATCACCTGTGGTAAGCTCCTGTTTTTATCGCTTCGTATTTATAGCCAAATAAATTAATTTTAGCACACTGATTGGCACCAGCGAGCAGGCGCATGGGAAATCCTGGAGAATCTATCCCCGTGTCCTCCACCAACTAGGAACTACCACCCCGCCATCTATAGGGCATGGCTGTTGCAAATAGGAGGCAATCACACGCCGTCAGTATCACGACCTGTTGGTAAAGCAACTTATCGTCTGTCACGAACGACAGCTTCGTTGGTGCGAGAGGCAACTGGCGAACACTCGCTGTTCGCACGCTCTGAGGAACAAAGCGCAGCTATGATTGCCAATGAAACTCTCTACAGATGCCATTTCGGATCTGACTTACTTCCCAGTATCATTAACTTGAGACAACAAATTTCCTCTTTAAAGGAACGATGCAACAATTTTTGTACTTTGCGCAAATACCGCTTAAAACGGACCCCTAATGTTAATGACCTATGAAACACGCGTTCGTTTTTCACCCCACGCAATAGAAGTCCCAGAAAAAAATTAAAGAAAAACGAGCAGCGTTCACCCCCTCAACTCGCAGCCAGAACAAGCGGCCACGTGATCTGGAGCCGATTATATGCCGCCAGTGTTGATCGTAGCCACGCGCTGGGGCTGGCAAAGCGCAGGACACGCGCTGAGTTCCAGACATTGTTATGGCTCGGCTGTTGTCGTCGTTGCAGCGATTGGACACGGGTCACTACCCAAATGCTTCTCGAGCTAGCAATTATCACGAGCCCAAGTCGAGTGCCCACGCAATGCTCGGATCCAATCTATGAACCGCATTCAAATATCGTCACTTGGGTGTACCGCGATCCCCACGTTACGTCATCAAATTTTGCAAAGGAGAGATTGAATGAAAATGATCGCTTTTCTCCTTGAAATTACACCGCAACAAAGGAGTTTCTTGGCCAGTGGCGTTGCGTATAAGTATCCTTGAGTCCCAGGTGTGCCAGTAAGCTCGTGTCAAGTGAAAAACATTCCAATTGAATATCGTTGCACCGGTCCTTTAATATATTGTAAAACGCATAACGTTAGAACTGTATCGTACTCTCGCGCATTTAACGCGCATGTTGATGAAAACTGTAGTATGTTGCAACACAAGATCTGTGCTAGAGGCTCCACCTCCAGCGCGAGGTTTTCACCTTTGATAAGACTTCGGCGCACGCGCAACCAAAGCATGGCGAAGGGCAACGATAACTTCTAGGAGGCGGAGCTTATCCTGCAACACTCATATCGCAACTATCTTACACAGACTATTTTAGGGTTTACAAAATCAGTCTAGGGCGGCTAAACGTTTCTACAAAAAGGTACACATCCGAAGTTACAAGCACGAGTGTAGTAGCGTAAACAACGCTCGCTCCGCACGCGCGCAAGTGTGCACATGTGTACACAGCAAATGCAGCGCGTATGCGACATCCGCGCGTTTTTACACCTCACACGTACAACTAAGTTACTGCGAAACAATAGATTTTATGGCTTAAGCTAGGCTCCACATTAGCACCCTCTGCTACTTTGTAGCGTTCTTCCTAACAGACTTTCAGCTCTGACAGCAAGACGAACAACATTGGCAATCGCGGGTTGTTGGAGACCCTATCTAGCTTCGTGCACCTTAAAATAACCCCTAAAATGCTTGCTTGTAAGCTTTAGCGGCAAAAACACGTGCGCTCCGTCCGTATCGCGCCACTACGTTACATTCATGCCGTGCTCCCATGCCGCCATCTTACATTTATCTTTCCAGCCACAAAACGAATTTCTAATTGAAATGAAGGCCAATTATGGCATCGCCCATTTACAGCTCCCTAAAAGCGCTTATACAGTGCGAGAAAAAATATTTAGATCTATCACTTTTGCACTTCTCGCATTTATGTTTACGAGGGTTCGGAAATGTGACCACCGACCTGCCGCGACCTCCTCCTAGCATTGGGTGCCGACGGCTCGCTCCCGGCGTCGCTGGTGTCCGGCACGGGCGTGCGGGCCTCCCTCTGCTCCGACGACTGTTCCGCCGACTCCGACCCGCTCCGGTGGCCGCCAGTGCCGCTGTCCGTGGGAAGCGCGGCCGCCCCGACCGACGTTGCCGACGCCGAAGCGCAGGCGACTCCGGCCGCGCGGGTGACGCCAGACAGCCCGTCCTCGCTGCTGGTGTCGGTGACGTCCACCTCGCCGTGGAAGCTGTCCGAGTCATCGTCGTCCTCGGAGCGACCGCAGTCGCTGCCGGCGTCTTCGGCGCCGGCACCCACGCGGCCCGTGTCCGTGGTTGTGTCGCACGTCGGGGTCGCCGCGCGTAACCTGAACGGGTAAGGGGGGGTTCTCGTACGTGGTTGCGTTAGCGCTCGCGCAGACGGACATCTCGTCGTATTGTTTTGCGGGAAACACTTCGCTGACAATAATATTCAACGTTTCGTGTTAAGCCTGGTTCGCAGGGTGCGATTTTGCTTGCGATTTCGCAAGTGAGACGGTAAGCACCGAAGCCTCCACGATGCTTTTGTTTTTTTCCCACAGGAGCGACATCGGAATGGTTAAATCGCAAGAAAAACCTCTCCATGTGAATAAGGTTTTAAGCCCGATTCAAGCCTGGAGCCTGATCCACACGGTGCAATTTCGCTTGCGATTTCGGAGTTGAGACGTCTCTCGTGCGTCAAAAAAAAAAAAAATAAATAAAAAAAAAATAAAAACGGGGTGGAAGCTGCGGTGCTCATTTTACTTGCGAAATCGCAAGTAAAATCACACCATGTGAATCGGGCTTATAGCGTTCAAGAGCAACAACACAAAATGCAATAGGAAATATTTGTTCCGTGTTATACATGCGTAAAGTACAAACCAAAGTGATTAGGCGAACTTTTTATAGTAACCTGTCCTTATATTTTTTAGGGTTATCAGCGTGCGCATCAGTTAGAAAATGCTGATACGTGCCATTATTTGCACCCGAGAGTTTGCCACCACCTTTGGTCAAACAGAGATTGTCGTTTCATGGCTTCATTTGGTCTACGTTAATTTGCCGTGAGAACGTTCACCACAGACACCGATATCATCTGAACGCTGCGGGAGTGATTTGTGAAGGAGCGACAACACTTTTACGCCGGGGTCACACTGCTCCTACATCATACAAAGGACAGTCTGCAAACAGATACGAACGCAAGTCACCACGAGGTCCGTGCTTGGAATGCCGCATGGCAATGAGTTCACGGAGAAACATGGGCATGCGGCATTCGAACCACGGATATTGCGGAGACTCGTGTTGGCAGTCTGTCTTTTCCATGATGTATGTATGAGCAGTGTGATTCCGGCCTTAGGGCAGCATTGCTCGCAGTTGTAAACGATAGGTTTCTGCTTTCGGTGCCATTTAGCGCCATCCGGCTCTTTATATTCGTCAACTCCCGGACATAACGAAAACAAAAAAGGGATTTTTGTAGTAAACACACATATACGCACACTCACACACACACAGGCGCACGCACACTCACACGCACACACGCGAGAGAACATATTCACACAGACACGCACATACAGAAACACATATCCAGCGCACGCACAAATATGAAGAGACACGCGCGCATACACGCGCGCACACACACATACATTAACGTACGAACATACGAACCCACACCCTCACACGCGCTTGCGCACAAGTACACGATCGCACGCACACGCACATAGACGCAATTGCGGGCACACACGTATACATTCTAAAAACCAAGGGATATAAAAATACGTAGCTGTTGCCGCGTGTTTAAGAAAATGAAAGGCTAGAACATGTTCCGACAAACCTACCAACAAAAATATAAACAACCTCTTAGAAAAAAAAAAAAAAAAGGTACGGAGGTTTTGTTTTTATTTTCGAAAGTCAAAAGATCCGGAACCCAAGTCTCCACCCATAAAGTCTCAACAAACATCACATATAGTGTTTTGACACGTTTTACTGTCTAATCATCGGGCAAGGCAGGGATACTTTACCGGAGTACTTAACTTTACAGAGCTCTAACTTGTGTAATTGAGAGGTTAGACGTGCAATGGTGTCCAGATTAGAAGGCGTGAAACCGGCAACGTGATCTCGAAAAAAGCAGCTCTCGTGGCGGTTTGAACGTGTTTCCACAAAACACAGTCATTAAAACAGCAGCTGCGGTCGGTTCCAATTACCCGCGTTTCAACCATTCGCGCTACGTGGTCACTTTCGACGAAATATAATGGCGTGTAGTATGGAACGTTTTGAACGTCTGTGCAGCTAGGCAGTGCACAGAAGTCCGCAGTTCAGCAAGCGTCCATATTCAGTCAGTCGTTTATATGATAAACATTCTAAAGCGTTTCAGTGATTGACGCTCAATACCGCTGACGACGTACAGGGTAAAGTGTCTTCCCAAAAAAATTACAAGTTTTTTTTTTTTTTTTTTTTTTTACCGCAAAAATAAACTATGCTTTATGGAACGCTCATCGTCCGCCAAATTGTAGCGCTAGTGGTGTGAACCAGATACCAAAGTTTCAGCACTAACCGTTATCTAACTCATTAAACCGTTATCTAACCCATTTTGGCCTGTTTTCGGTATCTGGCGCCATAGAGCTCCGTGTGTTATAATTTATAAGAGGTCCACCGGCCACAATTTTGTGACCGGTTGAAAATTTCCCAAAATTAGTTTAACCTTTGAATAAGATAACGGTTAGTGCTGAAAGGTTTGCATCTCGTTCGCACCTCTAGAGCTACATTTGGGCGCTCTAGCGCTACATTTGGGAGGAGAATGAACGTTCGGTGATGCATAGTTGATTTTTGTGGTAAACAAAATATTGTAAATATCTTTCTGGGGACACCGTGCAGTTAATTTCCCTGTTTTTTCGATGGCCTCCGCAAGAAAGAGGCTAGAGCTTCCCTGCTCCTATTTGTAGAATACTCGTTTTGATATGGTTACGTATATAGGTAAAGCTTGCGACGTGAGCCTTAAGAAAAGGCGTTTTTCTCTGGCGCGAGTTGTGCCATTCGCAATTCGCAATAAGCTGGCGGGATGGGGCGGTTTCCCCCTGAAGGATTTATGTATTCGCCTACTATAATAATATTTTATTGTCTACCTTGGGAACAGTTAGAGTATTCATGTGTGTGAGCTTATTTTGCACGAAGCCAAGAATCGTCATCAACAGCCCCCACCTTTTTGATTTGGATGACTATTTTACAGGCGTGCGGTCACGTAATCGCTGTTGCGTTATGCAGATCAAAGGCCTCAGGTAAGATTTCGTACTACTCAGTATACATTGCTCATCTACAACGTTGAGCCACTGTAGCGTATACACCTCGAGGGTAGTCCGACCTCTCGCTGCAGGAACACTTTCGAAGTCCAGTTTGTTTTGATTTTTTGTCATTGGGCGTTTTATAATTCAGCTGATATTTGTACAATGACGTAAATCCATTCTGTGGCCGAAAAGAATGCATATTGCCTTATCCATAAAAATTGGTTGCTGAACATTGTTGACCTTTTTGATTTGTAAATAAACCACTCCTATCTTCTCTTGTTGCGCTGTTATTTGATATCGTTTTGTAGACGACACTGACCTATACTTGATTTCACAGGTTACGTTCAGTGCTAGCTATGTCAAGGGCATTAGAGTGCAGCTCTGTGGATTGTTTAGTTTGCCCGAGCATGTAAGATGCACTTAAAAGGCACGCGCTTGCAGCCTTGTCTTTTCCAGAGCAACTTGTGAGATGAATGATGTATAAACCTTTCCCGAAAATTAAAAATGTGGCACCCCTACCACCGTCAGCTGGACGCATTGCGACGTTACGATGTATGGCACGTGAAATTATGCACAAATCAAAGACGAAGTCGGCGTTGGCTAAACATTTTGTGATTTCAGAACGCAGAGAAAGGGGAAGAAGAGCTAAACAAGGTGTGTGATAACCTCCTTTTTCTGTTTGCTTTATTTTTTTAGCGTTCTGATTTTCTAATGATAAGAAAAAGTGAATCTTGCCAGTGAATCGTGAAAGAAAACATAAATTGTGCCCGAGCGTATACATCTGAACAGCCCCACAATTCCCCTCTCCGCGAGGTCTCCTGTGATTTTCCGGAAAGGTCTAATGTTGCGACGCTGGGCACCTCCTTCTAACACCGCTCGATGCAATTCACGCTACGCTTTCAGTTCCATACGAGGACGACATTCATTGTTGTGAAAATGCGAAACTAATGTATTACAAACGTGTTAAAAAAACATGATCAGCCATCGGTGTTTAGATAGCTAAGCTAATTCGAGTTCCTGTCCCTCACAAAATATCAGTGTGCACGCCAATTGTGCATTGTTGCATTCGCCTCTCCGCGTTAAAATAAGCAGAGAGAGAGAGAGTTTTTATCTAATGCTCCTTTCCGTGAAGAAATAATAGCTTGTTGAGAAAGACGAAGAGCTCATAGCCTCTTTGTTTCGCCGCTTTCGATCTTCAAAGCCGTGGTCACACTGTTTGTACATGAACAAAGGACACGTTGCAGACACGATGAGAGACTTTTCTGCGGACAGGCCTAAAGCATGTTTGCTTTGCTTCGAAAATGTTCGAAAACAGCTATACTTTTTTCCATGTGAAAAGATACAAGGAAGAAACACGCATCAGACGATGCTTCCAGACTGTCTTTTTCATGTTGTATTATCAATGTCACCTTGGCTTAAACAAGGCCCGTTTATGTATACTTTCCCGGAGACACAGAGCAACTTCTGACGGCCTCCATTTGCAACGAGCTTCATTTGTATTTCTCAGAGGTTGTATAGTGTCTCTCATTCTTCGTGTCGAAGTCCTCCTCATGCAACGAGCTCCTTTGTCTACACTGCACTCGTCAGACGCGTTCGCACGCGATAGCCAAACGCCGGACGCCGGCGTTCCTCGTGCTAACGCCTTCGACGGGTGCAGTGGAGACAAAGGCAGCTAGCTTCGGGTCTACCCACTAATCGGTCCAATCAAAGCACTGCGTTCTGACGTCACCGCGCTCTCTCGTCTCCTCCTCTCCCTCAGTTCCTCGGCGCATAGCCTCGGCGCGCGAGCAAGAAAACGAAGTGCGCAGAACCGAAAAAGCCCCGGCATAGCTTTCACGCTAGTAGACCGAAACGACGCTAGCGTCAACCTGTTGGCGACGAGACGTTTCAGTGGCGCCCATTTATGGTTCCTGTTTCTGACGTCATGATGATCAATATTATTAGCAGCGAGCGACAAGATTCCATCGCACGTAAAAAGCACGGTGGAAGCCTGGTCATCGCGTTCCTAGATCAACACCGTCAGAGTTTAGAGTCTGACTGTTATTTCCGTCGATCTGAGCAAAAATAACCCTACT